GTCCATATGCCCTATAGTAAAAAGAAAAAACTCTCTAAAAAAAAAAAAAGATTGTTGCCAGCTTTGATGACATAAACTTCTTAGCCCTAAGAGTCCCTCCTCCATAGCATTTATGCCTAAGGTTTTGAGAAGCCCTCTGCCATCCAGCAGTAAACCATTCTTCCTTGTATCAAGAGTTATGCTGTGATTGCTCAAGCCCAAACTGGGACTAGGAAAACAGCCACATTGGCCATATTGATTTTGCAGCAGATCAAATTAGATATAAATTCTGCTCAGGCTTTGGTACTTGCACCCACTCAAAAAAGGCTCAATAGATTCAGAGGTGGTCATGGCATTAGGAAATTACTTGGGTGTCTCCTGTCATGCCTACACTGGGTACACCAGTGCAGATGTCGAGGTGCAGAAGCTTCAGATGGAAACTCCCCATACCACTGTGGGTACCCCTGGCCATGTATTTGATATACTTAATGGGGATACCTATCTCCCAAATATATCAAGATGTTTGTACTGCATGATGCTGATGAGATGTTAAGCCATGGTTTCAGGACCAGATCTGTGATACATTCCAAAAGCTCAATAGTAAAAGTTTTGCTGTGAGCTACTGGGTTGTTTGAAAAGTCATAACACGTTTTTGCATAAAAAAAAATACATCATGATTTTTCCAGTAACCTAATATAATGTCTCCCGTGCTTGAGGTGATCAAGAATTTCATGAGGGATCCTATCTAGATTTTTGTCAAGAAGAAAGAGTTGACCCTGGAAGGTATTTGCCAATTCTGTATCAATGTGGAATGAGAGGAGTGGGAGCTGGACACACTGTGTGACCTTTATAAAACCCTTACCATCACCCAGGTCATCAATATCCCCAAGAGCAGATAGATTGGCTTGCTGAAAATATGCACACTCAAGAGTTCATCATCTCTGCCATGCATGGAGATATGGACCAAAAGGAATACGATGTAATCATGAGCGGGTTCTGTCAGGCTTTAGTAGTGTATTGATCATCATTGATCTGCTGGCCAGAGGCATCAATGTGCAATAGGTTTCTTTAGCCATCAATAATGATCTTCCCACCAACAAGGAAAACTATCCACAGAATTGGTCATGGTGGACAATTTGGCTATAAGGACATGGTTGTCAATATGGTAACAGAAGACAAGAGGAGGAGACAAAAGGATTCTTTGAGACATCGGGACCTTCTACAACACCTCCATTGAGGAGCGGCCCCTCAACATTGCTGACCTCTTCTGAGAGGGGCTGTCCTGCTACCTTGCCCCAGCCAGTCAGTCCTGGGGAGGGCTGACATAGCAACAAGAGAGAGGAGGGAAGGGAACCCAAGGGATGGGCATCTTGCCATTTTTTTTTTTTGAATGAACGTCATTTTGAAGCAAAAAAAGTTAATTGATCTTAGCTTTGCATCATATTAGTTTTCCTGTACACAAAAACTGAAAGGATTTCATCATTATATTGAAATGATTTTATAGAGTTAAAAGATTATTGATACCAGGCTTTCAGATTTTTTTAATAGTTGATCTAAGAAATGACCACAGAAAGAATGAATTTATCTTTCCTAAAATTATTATTACATATCTTGTTTATTATGGTGTTCAAATGCCTGTATGCAAGAATGCATTTTATAAACTCTAAATTTTAGTGCCAAAAGAAAAAGTTGGCCATTTTTATAAATAAGTATGGCTTCCTTTTATAATGTTGCATTAATCCTATATAACTCACCACCTTTCCATTTTAGCTTTGGCTGCCAGAAAGCTCAGAGTTGTATTTATTGCCAAACCAGAGCAATGAACAGCTGCCTAATTTTGCAGAAAACCTCTATTCCAAGAACCTGAGTGTTTACCCTTAACCAAATGGTTCCTTGATATGCACAGCTCATATTATGACCGGTCTCAAATCCAATTTGGAAGTAGGCAGAGATTAAATAATAAACCAACAAACACATAAGTAATTTTGGCTAAGCAATTTGGGTCTTTGCCTATAAAGTAATGCTCACACCTAGAATCTGGTTGGTTTCAAACACCTATTAGGCATATAACCTGAATCTGGAGGACTGTCGTGGAGTGACTCTGCCCCTGGACAAACCATGGGCACTGGAGTCTTTCTGCTGAGGCCCATACCTGTATTCACCCACTCCTTGCCTGGCTCCTTTGAGGGAGGTCTCGTGGTATCCAATAAAATCAGCAGGTTAAAAGGGTGGTAAAAGAGTAAGTCGCAGGGACCAGCAGTTAGCATAATGGCTATGTTGCTGGACTCCCATGTAGTAGACCATGGTTCGAGTCCCGGACCTGATGGCTTAAACTCACGCCGGGCGCGTGTGCATGCGCGGCCAAGATTCCGAGAGGAGAATGGAGGAGAAGGGATTGTGGCGTGGCCATTCCCTCTAGGAGGTGATTTCTCGCTTTCTATCTCTCTGTCTCTCTCTGTCTGTCTGGTGAGCACACACGCCCTATAGCAAAAACCTCTCCAAAGAAAAAGAAAATAAAAGAGTAAGTTGCATATAAATGAGCTATTTATACAGCTTCCCATGGACTATAACCTTTTAAGGGGTTACTAGAACAAGATCTTGCTGAAATGGGGCAGGAAACCGACCATTTTCACACACGGAAACAATTCTTAGGCAATAGTGTGTGTGTGTATGTGTGTGTTTATTACACTTTCAACAGTAGACTAAAAATATTAAGTGAATTAACATACTTCTTTATCTATTTGGAAAATCAAGTATTTGTTCTCATTGTTAATGATATTTAGGTCATTTGGTAAGTGCTGAACAGGATATGGAAGGTGAAAGAAAGAGAAGCAACTGTTTTGAATGACTCTGATATAAATGGTTTGCCTCGGCTATTTCATTTAAGAGGCATGATTTTTTTTTTCTCCAATGCATAAGCTCCTCAGCAATCTGCTTCACAACATAGCAATGCAATAACACAGTGAACTTGGTGTTGCAATGACTTGGATGCGAGAGCCTGGTGGGGTGGAATCTAGTGATATAGTCTTAATTACAGTGTCATAAGAACTGGCAGAGCGGCTGTCTGTATCAGTAACAGACACCCTTGAAGCCTTGGGAATAGCTTGGCCTTTCCAGCTCTGCAGTAAGTTGGGTCAGCTGATTAGAGCGATAGATTCTATCATTGCTAAAAAGATTTGCCATGGCATTTACAGAACAGCCAAAACTGATCTGGGAGCGAGTGGACCAGGGAAGCTCCTGGGGCCCCAAATATCTTCCTACTCTTGGATGTCTGCCTGACATTCCATAGAGGATGTTTCATTCCAGGTAGATGTATTTGGTGTCCAAGCTCAGGCTTTCAGAATTGAATTTCTTAGCTTTAGTGCCCAGCTCCATTCCTCGCTGCTGGCTGAGTAAATTGGGGATCATCTCTTACTTTGACTCTTTCTGTAAATTAATGAAATCATCCCGAAAGGCAGGCAACCAGTACTTGGATCATGGTATACCTTCACTGTCTGTCAATGTTACTTATTATTTATTATTTGGACTTTAAGCATCACCTATTAAAATGCAAATGTCCATGGAGGCATACCTTGTTACCAGGTAACACTTTATAGGAACGAGGTCCTCACCATTTGAATGTCAGTGAAGAGGTAGTGAGCAGAAAGGAATCCAGAATTGAAACACGAAAAAGCAGAGAACTAGGCCCAAGGAGAGAAATAGCTTTGACATTTTGCTCAGAGCCACAGTGAATCTTCTACGTGAAAAAGCACCCAATCGTTGCAGCTACCCAAGCGCAAATCTTTGCTGTTGCAGAAAGGCAATCTAATTGCTGAATCCAGATCAAAGGATCCACAGCCCTTGCGGCCTTTGGGACTTCCCTCTCTCTATCAACTGTTCCACCTCAGAGGACTCTATATAGACTTTCTGTGGTCAGAGACATGAAACTGTGGAGTTGCCACATTTTCTCTTTGGTTTTCTACCTGGCGTGGAGCATATGCAAAGATCTTAAACACTGATGTGTGGAGGCATATACACTGTAGGGAGGCAACTGATACTGGAACCTGCTGCTTGCAGACACTGGTGTTTAAAGCCCTCACCCCTTCTTTTTGTTTGTTTATATATATTTTTTTCCATTTTATTTATTTATATTTTTTTCCAGTTTGCCAAAGGATGCATTTTCTTGTCAGAGAGAGGGAGAGGGAGAAAGCAACCCCTAGTTGGACATGGCCATGCCGATGACAATCCCTTCTCTGTTTCTCGTTTCTCCTCCCCATGGAGATGTGCGGCATGCACGCGCATGTGCCTGGCCTAATTTTTCAGCCACAGGGACTTGAATTCCAACCACGCACAGGTGGTCATGTGGGATCCAGCTCCTTTAATCCCCAGGAGCGGGGCCAACCCAGCCACCACCCTTCTTTTTTTTTTTTTTTTTTGGAGAGGTTTTTGCTACAGGGCGCGTGCGCTCGCCAGACAGACAGAGAGAGACATAGAGACAGAAAGGGAGAAATCACCCCCCAGAGGGGATGGTCATGCCGCAATCCCTTCTCCTCCATTCTCCTCTCGGGATCTTGGGCACGCACGCACACGCGCCCGGCGTGAGTTTTAAGCCACCGGGTCCGGGACACGAACCGCGGTCGACTACGTGGGAGTCCAGCGACATAGCCATTACGCTAACTGCTGGTTCCCGCACCACCCTTCTTTACAGAGCACTTGTGAGTATTCTTTCCCATTCTGAGTGGAGATTTCCATTTGTAAAGCCAGCCACTATAAATCAGCCATTTCAGCATCCCCTCCTGTCCAGCAAGGAGAGAATCATCAAACATTTGGGAAATAGTCTGTTAAGCTGTTTTACCCAAAATGGGTGAATTATTGCTATTTTTTCTCCCAAGGGCACCCAGGAGAGGCTGATTATTGATACAAACCATTCCCATTCAGACTGAAGAGAAGCTTCATTCACCTCCAGCTGGGTCAGGGAGGGGAACACACTGGGGGACACACACCTCGCACCTCCCCATCACTGTACAGCATGAAGCACTGACCTGTTAGGCCGGCGGCCTCGGCAGACAGGAAGGCACTCCAAGAGAGGAGAAAAAACAGGCCAGTTTCCAGCATTGGGAACTCACACAGCTTGGTAAATTTGGTCAAGTGATGAAGACACGTTAAGGGAAACAACCATTGCTTTTACATCTGAATCTCCTTGGCTGAGAAAACCTGATCTACTGATGATAGAAAGAAATGATTCTCAGACCTGCCTGGAAGGCTATACCTCTCACTGGGACCTTCATCGAAGGCCAGCATGAGCTCCATGCTGCACTGGGGGCTGAACATGCCCGGAAAATCTCAAACCTGCATTCACATAAAAAAGGCATTTTATTACGAGTATGAATTCAGCCAATTGTGGTTACAAAAATCTCTTTTTCTTTTTTTTGGAGCGGTTTTTATTTTATTTTATTTTATTTTTTATTTTTATTTTTTTGCTATAGGGCACGTGTGCTTGCCAGAAAGACAGGGAGAGACAGAGAGACAGAAAGCGAGAAATCACCCCCCGGGGGGATGGCCATGCCGCAATCCCTTCTCCTCCATTCTCCTCTCAGGATCTTGGGCACGCACACAACACGCCTGACGTGAGTTTAAGCTGCCTGGTCCGGGACTCAAACCATGGTCAATTACATGGGAGTCCAGTGACATAGCCATTATGCTACCTGCTGATCAGACAAAAATCTCTTGAAATTGGCCTCAGCCCTTGGGAGGGCCCTTTAGAACTGTAGGAGACCCAGGATACGAAGCTAGGAGAGCGCAGTTGGGATAAGATAGCCCTTCAAGAACATCAGCAGAAAAGGCACTGCTTCCGGGGCAGTATGGTCTCTGGGCAGACTGTCTCGGAGTCTTCTCTCTCAGGGATGGGAACAGGACGAGGAGAAGTAGTCACATTTGGTGACTGGGCAGCTGCCCATACCCCCTTAATCAGCAGGATGAAAAAGAAGGTACACTATTTCTAGGTCAGACGAGACACTCTTTGGAAGACAATAGTTCATTTTGGTAAGGGTGACCCTTAGCCAATAGTCCATAAATTACAAGTAGAACAAAGTGATAGTGAGCTGAGTTAGGCAGAGAATGGGCGATGGGAGAGATGACTAGAGGTATGTGATCAACTGGAAATGGTAACATTGTAAAAAGAGATATTTAGTAGCAGGGCAGGAAATCAAAAATAAGACCTCTGGGTAGAAGATCTAGTTCTAATACTTGGCTCTGCCAGTCACGGGCTGTGTGATTTCTAAGCTGTATATTAACCTCTCTGAGCCTCACTTCTATCTTAGATGCATCAATAATAATAATACCTGTCCTCACAATGTGGAAAGTGAAATTAGATGAAGTATGTTAGAAATGTTGATACATTTTTAGCATAAAGTAGCAAGATATTGAATGGCTGGGGTGTGGTCTAGGGAAGCCGACTCTATCTGTTTAAATTCATCCACTGGCACCCATCTCTGGACCACTCTGTGCTTCAGTTTTCCTATCTGAAAATGGGAATAATAATGCAACCCGTCTCACTGGTATATAAACCTGTAAATATATGTTAAGATGGGACCAGCAGTTAGCGTAATGGCTATGTCGCTGGACTCCCACGTAGTCGACCGCGGTTCCCATCCCAGACCTGGTGGCTTAAAACTCATGCTGGGCACGTGTGCGTGCATGCCTAAGATCCCGAGAGGAGAATGGAGAAGGGATTGTGGCGTGACCATCCCCCCTGGGGGGTGATTTCTCGCTTTCTATCTGTCTGTCTCTCTCTGTCTGTTTGGCGAGTGCACATGCCCTATGGCAAAAACCTTTCAAAAAATATATTCTTAGGGAGCCAGCACTTAGCGTAATGGCTATGTCGCTGGACTCCCACGTAGTCGACCGCGGTTCGTGTCCCGGACCCGGTGGCTTAGAACTCACGCCGGGCACGTGTGCGTGCATGCCTAAGATCCCGAGAGGAGAATGGAGAAGGGATTGTGGCGTGACCATCCCCCCTGGGGGGCGATTTCTCGCTTTCTGTCTCTATGTCTCGCTCTGTCTGTCTGGCGAGCGCACGCGCCCTACAGTGAAAATCTCTCCAAAAAAAAAAAAAATCTTTCCTGGAAATAGACTCAGTAAGGATCTGGAAGAAATTCTTTATGTAGAATACAAAATGGGTACCCTTAAACAGACCCTTTTCCAATATCTCCTTTTGTTAGAGAGCATCTTCGTTTCTTAGGGGGTTGTTTATTCTGAATTCCCTCTTTTGGTTTAAAGAGAAAGCACAGGTCAGTTTGAGTGATAAAATATCAACCAGCTAAAGAACATTCTTTCCTTTTAATCTCCCCCAGAAAGCAGTTTAGTTCTGGGCCCCCCCCACCCCAAGTCTAGAGCCCAGGAGCTCACAGCCTGAGGAGACTGTGCCCTAGCATGGACCAGGTGCCAGGGCAACTAAGGTGGAGGGGACAGTGCGCACCTGCCTTCAGAGCCTGAGAGTGCAAGGCCCATTAAAGGCCATGAAGTGCTGCAAGATTGATGTGCCCCTGCTGCTGAGCGCCTGTCTCTTCTGTCTTTACGCCCTGTCTTCCAGATTAGATCCAATCTCACGGACACGCAGTCTCTAGGCATTTTCTTCCCTTTCTCTTATCAATCTGTTTACGTACGTGTCTGCTTCTTTCCCTTTCTTCTGGAAGGAAGACTTCTGATTTCAGCTTTTGCACCTTGTCCAGGTTGTAGAGCCAAAAGCCTGGGCTTGAACTCTGGGCCTGAAATGTCCTGTTTGTGTGGCACCAGTCACGTTGTTTAGCACTAACTGTCTAATTTCTTCAGCTGTAAAATTGGGATAATCACCATATCTACCTCCCAAAGTTCTTACGAAAACTGTCCAAGATAATCCATGTGAAATGCTTAGGGCAACAGCTGGCACATAATAAGGCCGTCAGTTAATGTTAGATGATATTATTATTATTATTATTGTGCTTGTTATTGCAGACATGTGATCCAGAATGAACTATTTAACCTCCATAAACTTCATTTTCCTCCAGTGTAAGTGAGGATAAATTTGTCTTCTAAGGTTGATTCAACTGAGCCATGCTGAAGTCCTGGCATATGCTGACATACCCTGAGTGTTCCTATTATCGTTTCTATTACTTTGTTTTAAATAACATGAGACCTCCCTCACAATTCTAATAATTCTAATGATTAAGAGGTAGTAGGGAGGAGTAATTAAGAGCACGGTCTGCCTCTCTTGATTCTCACCTCCCAGGTTCATTTACTGACTGAGTTTGAGCAGTAGCTTAGCCTTTCTAAGCTTCAGGGTCCAAAAGTAGTATTTGGTGGCAGGATCCTTATGAAGGTTAGAAGTGCATGTAAAAGTAGTGGAAGACTGGGGACCAGCAGGTGGCATGGTGGTTAGGGCACTGGACACTCCCACATGGCCAACCATGGTTCGAGTCCCGGACCTGTTGACTTGCTTTCTCAGTTTCCCTCTCTCTCTCTCTCTCTTGCTCTCTGTGTGTCTCGCTCTGGTCAAATTATAATAAAATGAATGAATAAATAAAATAATTCTTAAAAAAAAAAAAAAGTAGTGGAATGCCTGATGATATCGTAAGCACCAGGTAGGTCCTTTCTTCCTGTTGTTGGAAATGAGGCCTATCTTTTCTGTGGTATTTTATTTCTGTTGATGCAAGTGCTCTTCTTCAGGATTTGAGGACAAAACTTTGGAGTCATCTTCGAGTCTTTCCTTTATCTCTTTTGACCAACCCATCATGAAGTCCTAGAGATTTTGTCTTCTCAACATCAGTCTTCCCGATGTTTCCCCCACAGTTCATCATTACAGCTGCCTTGATCCGAAAGCCCTTCCTCTGATTCATGTATGCACCAGTTGCTCATCTACATTTTAAAAACACAACGGTCAGAGTGTCACTTCAGTAGCTAACTGTGAACTATGGAAAGAAGCTCAGATTCATCTAAACAACATTCCATGGTACTCCGCAAGCTGACACCATCCCGCCTATGTCTTTTCATCTTCCATTTCTCACTGTCCAGAGCTCTCTGGTCCTCTCAGGCATACTGGCCATGTGCAATAGCCAATCAGTCTAATCTCTACACCTTCAAGAACTCTGGTCTTCCCCTCCTGAAGCATTCACTGCATAGCCTTTGCCAGTATCTTATATCTCTTACAGGCCGCACCCCGGTCCGGTCCCACTCTTCATACAAATACTTCCGTATGCTTTTCAAATTACTTTTCAGCATCATAAAGTTGGACAATTCCAGATGCAACTGCCCTGTCCTTGTTTTGCTAGTCCTAACCACTTAGATGTGGTTTAAGCGCTCACTTCTTATCTAACTCTTTAATGTAGAGCGTGTTTTTCCAAGCTTGTCATTCGGTGAGGGCAGGAATCATGTTTTACTCATCTTCTGACTCTTTGCAGACATTATCAGTAGAATTGAGACTTTTAGCGGCTGCTAGTCAATCTCTGGGTCAGTTCCCATGGAGAAAGATCCCAACAGTTTGTTTTTTCATTGCCTGGGGCCCTGACCCCTCTGGCATGCTTCTTTCTCCTCTTCACCCTGAAGTCTTTGGCACTTGATCTTTTTCTCTGCCTCCTCTCTGTGGCCTCTACTAAACCCTCACACTTGACACGGGCCTTCTCTTGTCTTCTCAACTCTGACTTACTCTTGCCCCATCCAATTGCTCTACGTGAACAGCTGTCCAGACCAGCTTTTTCCCTGGCTCGGATCCACTAGGAACTCTACTGATCCTCCCAAATAGCTAACAGAAAAGAATAAATTAATGACCCAATTGCCTAAATATGGAAAATATGTTATCTCTGCATTGCCTGAAGGTTCTCTTCCATAATGTAGCTGTGGATTCTTGTGTAAAACCACAGTGATCTTTGGTTTGATATATTCTAAGAGTTAGGGATTGGCAAAGCTGCAAGAGAATGCAGAACATACTCAGTGATCACTCTCTGTCAATTCTGTCTTGTTCTTGGACCTAGATCTTCAGTTCTTCCTCCTGACTCTAGTACTTAATGCTAGTCCTGATGACCCCTGCCTATTACAATTCCTAGGTGGCATTTTTTTTTTTTTTGAGACTGTTGCTTTTCTAGTATTAGACAGTGAACACAGAGCTAGCATTGAGCTTGGACAAAGAAAGGTCCTGGCTTTCTCTGCCACTGGTAACCGCCTATACCTCTAGGACAGACTCAGAACCCAAATGGACGCTGCAGTGCTGACTCGAACTTCAACCAGACTCTCTAGCCATTTACTGGCTTAGAGGTTGTCCATCCTCAGAAGCTTCCCCTGGACATTGACGACTCTGTACCATCCCAAGACTTCCACACACACACAAAGGATATCAGCGCCGTGACAACAGCATACGCGGACCCCATCGCAAAGGAGCCAGCAAAGATCCCCAGGAAGTTCCCCACCGACTGGAAGAACGCCGCAGCATCAAAGTCATTTGGGTTCTCCTTGGGACTGTAGATGGATATAGAACTGAAAAGAGAAGAGAGAGAAGGTTAGTCAGTGACCTCCCTCTTAACCGTGGAGGTGGTCAGAATTTCACACCCACTTTTGGGGAGACACCTTTTCTTATGAGGATAGGTGCTGGTTGGAAGAGTTGGGAGAAAAGCGATAAAGAAGGAGGGGGAAGTGTGGAGAAAGCAGAAGGCTTTCCCCTTCCTGACAGCCCGACCCCCATGGTACCCATATCTTTGCTGCCAGTCAGTAAACATTTTTATATTGGAAGGGTCGTAAAGAATATTGTTTCTGAGCAAACTAGGCATTAAAACATGGTAGGTGTAGAAGGAATCTGCTGAGAAGATAGATAACTGTGAATTATTTAGTGGCCATATGTCTTCAGTGCTGTTATATATTCACAAATGTTCCTGATAAAAAGTGCACTTTTATGGCCTGTGCACAAATGGGCGATACAAATCACAGCGGGCACGAAATACTCTGCCGCGATCTTGTCATAAACCACAAAACATGCCTCCTCTCCGGCGTAACCCTTCAGAAACAGAGCACTGATGGTGTTCAGAGCATGGCAGTATTAACCCCAGGGGAGAGACAAAACCCTCACTCCCCACCAAAACAAATGGCAGCAGCTGCCCGAGGTCATCTTTTATACCCCAATTCTAGTAGCTGCCAACAGATTTATTTCCATAGAGAAAAATCAATCCACCAATAGGCAGTCTGTTCACTTAAATACTTTTGAGGACGTCATAGCTGCTATTTATTTTTCAGCCAGGCCCTCAGATCCCAGAGCATTAATATGAAGGACGAGGTGTGTCCTATTTTAGGACGTACGAACTCCATATTGTAGCACTGAAAGGAACAGATGTGCCACACCAGTAGCTTTAGAGAGATTCATTAAATAACATTTCGGAATTTCTTTTTATCTTTCTTTTTTTTTTTTTCAAGTTTTTAACACAGGTCTTTAAAACTAATCAGGAATCAGGAGTTTTGGAAGGGCCTTTATAGCAAAAAAAAAAAAAAAAAAAAAGAAAGTACGCTAGACACACTAAGATTATACTGGATTTTACAGAGATGTAACTGAATCTTTTATGGCTTGGATGATTACTGCACTACTGCACGTCAACTCCAGGACCTGACTTTTCTTATCCAGAGATGAGTTAACAGAGAGCAGGAAGAGCAGATTCCAATCCTCCTACAGGACAATGTGTGGCATTAAAAGAGGTAGTTTTAAATGTTTTTAGTATTCCCTTCGATGTCTTTAAACCCCCAAAGTAGGCCAAACACGTCTGCCTTGATCCTGTAATTGGATAAGGAAGATGAATGTGGATCTTGAATAGAGACCTGAAATGTATGCAAGAATAGGATTCTCTTTGAAGTGTTTTTCTTTTGGTAAATTGTTGTGTTTTACAATAAAAAGGAAACGCAAACCTACGCTTGTGTCCTTTGTATATGCTAGTCCTGGGAAAAGGTGTAAAATCCCAGGACCATTAGGAAATTTGGTGCCAAGGCCTGCTGGTTTGATGAGTGCACCCTGACATTCCCCAGTACATCCCTCCATTCCAGTGAAGAGACCATCGTGAGGGGAAAACGTTTCATTTGCAGGCTCCTTCTCTAGCAAAGGATTTTGTACCATGACACAGCTTTGTAAATGCTTCTGTTAACACCTTAGGCTTCTACCAGTAGGCCTGTCCTCTACAACAGTCACCACTTTGTCCTCATCTCCACCTCCACAGTCCCCCGAAATGTCTTCTCTGTCCTGAAGCTTCTGGAAGCTGGAGCACCGCCGTCACATCTTTGGCCATATCCTGTACCATTATTTACATAATGTTTTTCTTTAAGTCATTTTTTTATCAAATGTAAGGATTTCTATTAAGGGATAGTTATGAACTCATAAGTTTGATGAGCTAATATATTTTTTCCTAATACATGTGAGAATATAGGAGTTAAAAAAATAATTCTCCTGTGTGTCATGTAAAATCATTTGGGTAACCTCACTAATTTGCAGACCTTGTAATGGAAGATCTTCTCCTCCTCCTGCCCACCCCACAGGTGATGGTCACTTTGTTCACCCAACTCCATGTCTGTTCCTGTGATAAACGACTTGACTGAAGGGAAATACTTAATTCCTCTTAACATATGGAGACTGTCCCTTGAATTTGCTGACCATAGAGTTCCCCTGGGTATACACGCTGGGTGCCTGCTAAGTGCCAGGTGACATGTTAGGGTAGGGAGTTAGAGGCAGGCTGGGAAGAATATGGAAGGGAAAGCAGGTTTTGATTCAACATTTTAAGAAATACCAATTATACACAAGTCACACTGAGGCAGAGAAGTTTGAAACATGGATAGAGCCGATCAACAGACAGTAATGGGCAGAGGGCATTCCAGTCAGTAGAAAGATGAAAGGTGAGTACAGAGTATGTTTAAGGCATAGCTGTATGGTTATGGCCACAGCCAAGGTTACATGTAGGTGGATCAGGTGGCATCGTCAGAGACTTAAATTCCATGGGAAGAACACACAGAAGCCCTCACCTTTACATAATAGTATTTATGCCTACGTTACTGTGGGGACACGTTTAAGAGAGAGAGTCTGAGGTGTGGGGACATGTGCTGAGCAAACACCCCATGCTCTTTTGGGGTTTGGCAGATCTTTGTAACTTGTCTTTCCTTAACCTTGGTGGCAGACAGAGCAAGGGTGGAAATTACTAGGGGCACATCTGATGGACTTCAAGAAACATCTTGACCCCAATTAGTAAAGTCCAATCCCTGCTCTGCATCTGAAAGGTTCTTTAGCCTTCTGGGTGTGGTGGTGCACTCCTTATGGAGAAGTTCTTTAGCTCCTTCCCCACACCTAACAGCTAGTTCTCTGCATTAGAAAGGAAGATGAGATTTACTCTAGATGGGATTACCACCAAGGGATACACCTTGCCCAGGGTATGACTAATCCCTTATAGATTTGTTAACTGCTTCTCATTGTCTGTAACCTGGCAACTAATCCATGAAGTGTCATGAAACATACATGTGTAATGTCTCCTTGTACTATAAATAAAGACGTCCAGTTCATCTGGGCGGCACAGGTTGCTTGGGCTACCTAGGCTCAGGCTGCCTGTGTCCATTTCCACTCTATCTTTCTGTCTCATCTTTTCTGCTTCTTCCATAATAGCGCTAAGCCTGGGGGCGGACGCCGACACCTTACAACTTTATTAGCTCCTCTAAATCTCTGTGAGGTAAACAGGGCAATTTATTATCTTTCCTATATCCTCCCTCCCTCCCTCTCTTTACTCCTTTCTATCTTCCCCTTTAAAACAAAATAAACGAAGGATTAGAGAAATGAGTAGCACACAGCTAAGTTCACAATGTAGATTTCATATTTCTACCTTACAAAAAGTAATCTCATTGGGAGAAAATCATGAGTTGATTTTCCACATCATGTTAGTTAAGTGAGGGTGTCGTATTGACTCTAAGGGCGATAGGAGTTTAGGTACTAAGGCCTGTATTTTCACGCTTGGTCTGGAACATGGGCTGCCCCTTCCTAGACATGTGGAGAAGAGCAGAGTGTGCTGAGTGAGGCAACAGTACCTCCCTCTGGTCCCAGTCGTAGACTAGACTCAGGGCTCCAGAGGGAAAATTCGTTGGGCCTGGCTACGTATGTGGAAATAACACTAGTACTTATCCTCCAGAAATGGTGGATAGGAAATGCTGTAAGGATTTGAGATACATTTACATCTCCGAGTGCTTATTATGTTCATTCAAAGTAAAAACTCAATGGATGTTATTTATCATCACCATCATCCTGCTAAGAACTGCTGCCACTGTCACAATGACAGATGGCAGAATCTATGTGTTGAACCAGGCTGCAGCTCCAACTCCTGGCCCTGCCGTCAGGCTACACTTTGACGTTACCAGACAAGAACTAGTCACTTTTGCATGAGAACATAAGGTTGTCCAAGGAGGAAAGGCACCAGACAGTCACTCTAGGGAAGGAGCCATAGGAGTGAAGATAGAAAGTTGTCATATTTATCAACTAGCTCTTGGTTGAGTGGATCAAGGAGAAAAGAAGTTTCCTCAGTAGGGGTCTGCTCCAGGGACAAGAATAGATCAAGAAACGGTGTGAGTTGCATCTCCTCAAGTTTAGTGAGTAATGTTTTGCAAGAAAAGTCTTCTTGCTAAGGCAAAGGAGACCAGACCCTTATATATCAGGGAGGTTGCCTCTCTCTGGACTGCCAGGATTTTAGGAAGTTGTTCCTCAAGGCTCTAGCTCCTGCAGGAGGCATCCCTCTGGACCCTTGCTTTTAGTTGCAACACTAAGCCTCTGGATTTGGGAGCAGCGGATGTGGGGGGTTTGTTTTGGAAATATCCAGGGGTTTGAATAGCACATACAGAGCTTTCTAATTTCAAGCAAGGGAAAAATATCATTATTCCAGAAATTTCAGCATTTGACCTTATTTCCTGTGCCAAGGGAGAGCTTAAACCATTCTTGGGTGCAAGTAAATACACAGGGAGGAGAAAAGGAAGGAGCTGGATTTTCTGTTAATTTGTGTGGTGGTCAGAATTTGGGATACCACTCTGAAAAGGCACTGTTTATAACACAAACTGGTAAAGATGCACCTCCAATCCCTGTATATCTGGGAAACAGTAAGATAGAACCAATATGCTTAAAAATGACACAGCCAGAAACACAGTGGTGTTTAAATATTCATCTCATAAATTGGAAATGTGTCCAAGTTATTGACTTACTCTGTTTGGGAGCAGATTACTCAGCAAAAAAAATAGTTTGATGATAACATATTGGATCCATACTCAAAAATAAATATGTGTAGTATCTCTTATTAAAAAAATTGAAATGGGTGAAGCATCCTAAATTTCTTTGATGAAAACAGCATGAATAAGGATCATTTCACTCACTGTCCCATTTAAGAGTCACAGGCGCAATTGAGCCTCGTTTCTCTATAACCTATCTACGCTTCTGCGATAAACAGGCCTTGTAGCTTAGGGAGGGTTAAGAGCATAGACCCTGAATC